TTCGTCTAATGCTGAGTCAGCTGTTCAGTTCGTCTAATGCTGAGTCAGCTGTTCAGTTTGTCTAATGCTGAGTCAGCTGTTCAGTTCGTCTAATGCTGAGTCAGCTGTTCAGTTCGTCTAATGCTGAGTCAACTTTTCAATTTATCTAATGCTGAGTCAGCTGTTTAGTTCATCTAATGCTGAGTCAACTTTTCAGTTCGTCTAATGCTGAGTCAGCTGTTCAGTTTGTCTAATGCTGAGTCAGCTGTTCAGTTCGTCTGATGCTGTCAGCGTTTCAGGAAGCTCTGTCTCAACTGATGAGAGTTGAGACTGTCTGCTCGTGGGATTAAACAGATTTATTACAGAGAGAATATTGATGATGATGCACAGCAACTTTGTAGTTAGTTTATAAAAAATGGTTAACCACAAAGAGGATTGTTAAAGTGAGTTCATTTATTACAGGAAATGACACGAGGGAGACGTCCGACACACTGAATGCATCACTCTGCTTCAGCACTGCTGAGTTCTGCTCGGCCTCTCTGGTTCTGATGGACCGGATTAATTTCTGAAAGCTCACCTCTGAACGGGACGTGGACGCTTTACCTGTGGTTTATGAACCGTTTTGAGTTGTGTTCACTTACGTTGTTGCACTGCCATCTTACGGAGACAGCGGCGGATGATAAAAATTAGCGCTTCAGCGTTTTTATCTGTTTAGCGTTAGCTAAGCTAACTTTCTGATTAGCTGTGCCCACCACTGCTAATAACCAGTTCTAATTCTAATGCTGCTAACGCTAATTTGAGTTAAAAGCTAATGTTGTGCTAAATGTAGCTAGTGTTTTGTGACTAGCATTTAATTAGCATTTAATTAATTTTTATTAAATTGCTACTTGTGGACTCAGTTGTAGCTGCTTCAGCAGTCGTCCAGAGCTTGGTGTTCATGCTGTATTTCATCTCTGATCATGTTTAGCTTCTCTCCTGAAGGAGCAGATCAGAGTCTTTTACATTTGACAAGAATCCAACAGGTTTTTGTCTAAATATTTACCGTATAAATGATTTAAATGAAAACGGTAAAAGTTATCGGTCCTCGTCGTTCGGCGTTAGCCATCAGCAGCTGCAGGTTCCCGTCCGCTCCGCAGGTCTGGGATCAATTTATTCAGAGCGTCTCTGTCCTCCACCTGCAGGCCTGAAGGAGACCACGGAGCAGCTAGTGAAGAAGAAGCTGGAGGGGAGGGACAAGCTGACGCCCTGGGAGGAATATCTGCAGAAGAAGAAGGACAAGAAGAAGGAGAAGAAGAAGCAGAAGAAGCAGCAGAAGAAAACTGACAAGGCGCAGGTGGGTGGAGCCGTCCGCAGGCAGCTGTCTGCTCAGGTGTTTGGATCAACTGTGATGTGTTGCTTCTGACAGGGAGCAGCTGATGAAGACTTCAGTGATGATGAGCTTCCTCCTGATGTTGACCTCAGTGACCCCTTCTTCAGCTCGGAACTGCAGGCTTCAGGTGAGCAGACCCACAATCTGCTGCTCTTCTCTCAGCTCTTGGTTTTTATTCAGTTTAGAGGACATAAACTCTCACTGAGCTCAGACTGAAGGACACAAACTGGACGGTGTGTCCAAACTGTCCCAAAACATCTCCGTTAGAAAGGTTCATGACTCCGACGTTCTCTCAGAGCAGCCGGGCCGTTTGTTTCTCTAAAGTTTTATTTAAAGTTTGCAGATGTGTCGATCAGTTTGTTTCTAAATTAAATCGTCAGCTGGGTCAGACCGGACCATGATGCTTTGCACACTTCCTGTTTTTATCTGGGAGGTTCAGGAGCACCAAGTCCTCATCCTCCCAAAAACCATCAGGCTGATTTAGGAGAACTACTTAACAAAAGTTCATTAACCACATTTAAAACTCTAATATGTGAATTAAAATTATTTAGTGTAAAATATTTTGTCGTGAGCACGATAACCTGAAAAATGAGTGAGGGACTGATTCTGGTGTGGCCGCATCTTGATGGAAGAAAGGTCGATACCAAAAACTGGGGCGACTGCATCAAAATCCAAGATGGCAGCCTCCATACATGCATGTAAACAGCCACCACGATCAGTTGATTCAATCTTTGTAGTTTTCAATTTGTTTAAAAGTTTAAAGTTTCCTCAAATGATCAGGGGGCTGAAAACTAATCTGTGGGGGCCTCCTGAATTTTTTTGGACCAAAAACTTTAGGTTACAGAAAAACACTCTTCTCCAAAACTACAAACATTCACTGTTCAGATCTCTCGACGACGCCGGCGTACCGCTCGAATCAGCTTCCTGTGAGTTTTACGGCTGACCCGTTTCAGTCCGTCCTCACAGAACCTGTGTGACACAGATCAAAGCGTTTGTGTCTGCTGCTGTTTACAGACCAGAAGAAGAAGAAGAAAAAGAAGACACGGGAGGAAGAGGAGCGTCCGGCTGAGGAGGAAGAGGAGCTGCAGAAACAAAAGGTAAGAGGCGGTTCTCCGGACTTCTAGTTCTGATGGTCAGAGGCTGATCCAGGTTCCAAACTTCTGGTTCTGATGGTCAGAGGCTGATCCAGGTTCCAGACTTCTGGTTCTAATGGTCAGCAGCTGAGCCAGGTTCCAGACTTCTGGTTCTGATGGTCAGAGGCTGATCCAGGTTCCAGACTTCTGGTTCTGATGGTCAGCAGCTGATCCAGGTTTCAAACTTCTGGTTCTGATGGTCAGCAGCTGATCCAGGTTCCAGACTTCTGGTTCTGATGGTCAGCAGCTGATCCAGGTTCCAAACTTCTGGTTCTGATGGTCAGCAGCTGATCCAGGTTCCAGACTTCTGTTTTTGATGGTCAGAGGCTGATCCAGGTTCCAAACTTCTGGTTCTGATGGTCAGCAGCTGATCCAGGTTCCAAACTTCTGGTTCTGATGGTCAGAGGCTGATCCAGGTTCCAAACTTCTGGTTCTGATGGTCAGAGGCTGATCCAGGTTCCAGACTTCTGGTTCTGATGGTCAGAGGCTGATCCAGGTTCCAGACTTCTGGTTCTGATGGTCAGCAGCTGATCCAGGTTTCAAACTTCTGGTTCTGATGGTCAGCAGCTGATCCAGGTTCCAGACTTCTGTTTTTGATGGTCAGAGGCTGATCCAGGTTCCAAACTTTTGGTTCTGATGGTCAGAGGCTGATCCAGGTTCCAGACTTCTGGTTCT